TTTGAAATTTTGTGCCCAAGCACAATGCCTTCGTCAACCATGAAGTGACACTTCTCCCAATTTAGCACAAGGTTGGTCCCTTCGCATCGCTTAAGCACTTGTCTAAGATTGTTAAGACAGTTCTCAAACGAATCACCAACCACCGAGAAATCATCCATGAAGACTTCAAGAAAGTCCTCAATCATGTCGGAGAAGATGGACATCATACACCTTTGGAAAGTGGCCGGAGCATTGCACAAGCCAAATGGCATCCGGCTAAAAGCAAAAGTACCATACGGGCAAGTGAACGTAGTTTTCTCTTGATCTTCCAAAGCGATGTTGATTTGATTGTAGCCGGAGTAACCATCAAGGAAATAATAAAATGACCTCCCCGCTAGCCGATCAAGCATTTGATCAATAAAAGGCATAGGGAAGTGGTCCTTGTAAGTAGCACTGTTAAGTTTCTGATAGTCCATACAAACTCGCCATCCGGTCACAATTCGCATTGGAATGAGCTCATTCTTCTCATTTTTGATCACGGTCATGCCACCCTTTTTTGGCACACATTGTACTGGGCTCACCCACGAACTATCGGCAATGGGGTAAACTACCCCGGCATCCAACCACTTGATAATATCCTTTTCTACTACCTCTTGCATTGACGGGTTCAACCGCCTTTGATGTTCCATACTTGGCTTTGTTTTGCTCTACAATTGGATTTTATGTTCATAAATTCCTGCGGGGATTCCACGAATATCCGTAATGGTCCATCCAATAGCTTGCCTATGTTCTTTCAAGACTTCCAACAATTGGTTTACCTGCACATCATTTAGCAAAGACAAAACGATTACGGTTAAAGTATCATTAGAGCCAAGAAATTTATACCTTAAGTGCGGTGGGAGAGGCTTGAGCTCTAGTTGTGGTGGCTCAATGATTGATGGCTTGGTGGGAGGTGTGGCCCTATTCTCCAAGTCAAGAGAAAGCTTTGCCGGAGTGTAAATATAGGATCCAAGACCTCCAATGCATTTACCGACTCCATGTACCCATCCATGTCCTCACCATCAAAGTTTACCAAGATAGCCGCCAATGCCTCACCAAGGCATTGTTCTTCCATTTTCAATTCGACGGTATCTTCAACCTCATCAACCACATCTATCACTGAAATGCTCTCATACTCATTGGGTAATTTCATACCCTTTCTCGCTTGAAATGTGACTTCTTCATCATTCACCCGGAACTTAATTTCATTTCGCTTTGAATCCATGAGTGCTCTTCCCGTGGCTAGGAATGGTCTCCCCAAGATGATAGGTATCTCTTTATCAATAGCAGAGTCAAGAATTACAAAGTCGGTGGGTAAATGGAATTTTCCAACTTTCACAATCACATCATCAACAATTCCTACCGGTCGCTTAATAGATCGATCGGCCATTTGTAACCTCATGCTTGTTGGCCTCGGCATCCCTAATCCCGTTTGCTTGTAGATGGCAAGTGGCATCAAGTTGATGCTAGCCCCATTGTCACAAAGGGCTTTTGCAAAGTCACGCTCCCCGATAGTGCATGGAATAGTAAATGCTCCCGGGTCCTTTTTCTTTTGGACAGGGCTTGTGGCAAGAATAGAGCTAACCCGGTGAGTCATGTTTACCACCTCATTCTTTGTGGTCCTCTTTTTGGTGATCAAATCCTTCAAATATTTGGCAAACCCTGGCATTTCTTGAAAAGCCTCCAAGAATGGAATGTTCACCGACAATTGCTTTAGAATATCATAGAATTTCTCAAGCTTGCTATCATCAACCCTTCTAATAATTCTTTGAGGAAAAGGCGGAGGAGGTCTAGGAATAGGAGGTGGAGCTTTTGATGTCTCCTTATCCTTTTCCTTCACCCCTTCTTGGTTCACTTCTTGCACCTTCTCTTTTTCCGGCACACTTTCAACTTCAACAACCCCTTGCTCTTCTGCTTCAACTTCTTGTTCGGCTTCTTCCCCAACAACCTCTTGCTCAATGTCACCTTGTAAAACCTTCCCACTTCTAGTAGTTATTTCCATGATGTGAGAAGTTGAGCCACTTCCACCACTCTTCGGGTTCGCAATGGTATCACTAGGAAGTTGCCATTTTTTCTTTGGGTTTTGCTCTCTTGAAAGGTCTCTCATCTGCATCTCTAACTTTTGGATAGATGCGGTGTGAGAGCCAACAAATTCGGTCATGTTTCTCATGGACGCGTCAGACTTTTCTTGGTTTTGCAATACTCTTTCAAACATGCTTTCTAACTTTGACTCACTTGACGACCCTTGATTTGTATAATGACCTTTTGGGGGAACATACGAGTTGGAGCTCCGGTTTGCAAAGTTGTTGTTGTTGTTGTTCCAATTTCCTTAATCCGAGCTACCTTGATCATTTTCCATTGTTGGTTGCCTTGCCCTTGCGAGTTTGGCCTCCACTGGCTTTGTTGCCCTTGACCATGGTAGGGTTGCCTTTGATACCCTCCTTGAGGGTTGTTGATATAATTTGCTTCCTCAAAATTTTCATCTAAGATGGGTTGGACATCTTCCACTGCATTCACTTTCTTTGTCTGATTCTCGGTAAACATCTTTGTCAGCACATTTACATTTGTTGCAAGCCCGGCAATCACTTGATCCCTCTCTTGATTTTCCTTGATTAAGTTGCTCAAGGAAGGAGAGCCATATGAGATTCCTCCGGTAGTATCCTCTGAATGACATGCTTGGTTGTGCTTTGCCATTTTGTCCAGGATTTGTGTCACTCTTGATTTGTCCATGAAAGATCCGTCAGCTACATTCTTGGCGATGGCTTGGTTCATGAGATCCAAACCCATATAAAAAATTTCCAACAACATGGAATCCGGAAAACCATGGTTTGGAGACCTCACCAAGTATAATTTAAAGCGATCCCATGCCTCATGCAACTGCTCTCCCTGTATCTGCTTGAAGAAGAAAATCTTATCCCGCAACTCAGACTTTTTGCTCTGCGGGAACCACTTAGACAAAAATGCCCAGACAAGTTCGGGCCAAGAATGGATAGAGGTGGGTGGCAGATTCTGGAGCCATTTCCTCGCATTCCCAGCTAGAGAATACTTGAAGCATCTCAACCACAGGGCATCGTCAGAGACAATGTTTTGTTTGTGCATTGCACACACATACCCAAGAAATTCCTAAGGAGTTGTGTTGGATCATCATCTGTGGAGTTTCTGAAAAATCCTTCTGCCTTAAGCATCAGAATTAGACTTTGTTCCACTTTAAATGTTGCAGCTCCAACAATTGGCGGTACAATGGCGTTAGTATCCTCAATGTACTCCTCGATGTCTGCGAAAGGATTCTCTCCCATTTCTGTCTCCGCATCATCACCATATTCAGACATGTTTTCCTATCAACACCAAGCAAAGTAAGAAAAATGTGATGGAATAGAAATAGACGTTAAGTAAAGTACAAACTAAATAGTAATTTCAAAACCGTATTCCCCGACAACGGCGCCAAAATTTGATACGCTCAAATTACACTTTAATGAATAGTGTAAAGCAGTCAGTGTTAAAATATAATAACCCAACAAGGTTGGGGTCGAATCCCACAGGGAATAGGTGTGAAAAGGTTACTCTTATAGTGTGTTGCTCGACTAAAGTCGTATCTCTATTTGGTTAACAGTAACAAGAGAATGGTTTTATAGTAACAAGAGTATGAATTGAGTTTGTTTGGAAGTATCAACTAATTGGAATATTTATAGAGTAATTAATTGGATTAAAGAAACCAAGGTTGTGTCCCCTTTAATGGAGTGTAATGCTTATCGGTGTTAATATGATATATTTCTAATGGAAGGTTCTTTTGATATGCAAATGATGTCTAAGTGACTACCCAATATTTCCCAATAGTTGAGTAGTATTTCCTCTTTATAATTTTCCCAAATATAAAAGAGTTGCAATTTAGAACCATCAATATATGCCAAGTAAAACCCACTTATTCCTAAGCGATTCTATTAAACAAGGTTTAAAGCCTTGAGTCATTGATATTTACTTCTACCAAATTCTAACCCATTTTCCAAAGCAAAGCAAGAATTTAATGGCACTTGTTAATGTTTGCAACCACCAACAATAAATGAAGAATGAGAAGTAAATAAATATCAACCAACCATTATATATATATTCAATGTTAAACACCCATTTCATAACACCCATTTAGGGTCCACAACCTTAGTATTTAAAGTTAGCTACTCATACTACAATACAAAAATCAAAGAGTATTTAATGTCATAAAAGCTTACAAAGTAGAGAATCTTCACCCAAAAGCTTCCAAAAGTGAGGAATATTAATGTCTTGGAATGTGGTTCAAAGACAAGACAAGATGATCCCACAAAGACATCATAAAACTATTTATAGTGGACTCAAAATCGGGACAGAAAACGGACAAAAATACCCTTTCAGGTCTGATATGCGATCGCATTCTTGTCGCAAAGCACGTATGCGGTCCGCATCTTGAACATCCTCATCGCAGATTGGAACCCTAGTTTGCAGGTCTTCTTCGCATTCCAATTATGCGGATCGCATTGCAGAAATACGATCGCATTTTGCATCGCATCTTCGTCCTTTAGTGACCTTCATGGTTGGTTTGCGGTTCACTTTGCGGCTCGCATGTTGGTTCTGCGATCACATAATGGACCACATTCTTGACTTGAGATTTAACCCAGATCTCTGCTTTTGTCTGCGATTTGACGTGCATTTTGCGGGTCACTTGTCTGATCTGCGATTGCATAGTGTATCGCAGACCAGCATTTTTGCTACATTTTGCTCTTTTCTTGTCTTTTTGCTTCCATTTCCATGTTCTTGGGTTCTCAGTCCTTATGTACTGTAGAAATAACAAAACTACATAAGTAACGGAGATAATTGCATTAAAACAAGCTAAAATCTAAGCAATTAGTATTGAAATGTGCCGAAATTCTCCGGCACATCAGTAACTAAAAATTAAACTGTTGAGTTGGACTTGATACTCTTATATGATTTTTAACTGCTCGCCACTGCACTCAGACCTTATTTACTTTAGTTACTTACTGAGTTGGCATACTCACGTTACTCCTTGCGCCTTGTGTGCAGATCCAGGTGCCTAGACATCAGAGTGAGAGCTTCCAACACTCTCAGAGCTTTACCGAAGACTGCAAGGTAGCTGCACAGCAATCGCAGCCCTGCTTTCCTCCTTCCTATCTTAGTTTTCTGTTATTTCAGACCTATGATGTATTATTCAGTCAGTTTGGGTTGTATTTTGAGGCTCTTAACTTGTGACACAGGATTATTGGGCTATGTTGGTATATTTTTTACTAATTTCTGAATTTTTTGTTGATTTATATATTTCATATGAGAAATTGAGACTAAATTGGTTTTAGAAAATGGTTTTGTAAAAGAATTCACTGTGGTTAAATGTTGGATTGGCTTGCCTAGTACTGTGATAGGCGCCATCACGACTGGGGGTTTTGAGGTCGTGACAAGTTGGTATCAGAGCCTAGGTTACATAGGTCTCGCGAGTCATGATCCGGTTTAGTAGAATCTCGCGGATCGGTACGGAGACGTCTGTATTTATCCTCAGGAGGCTGCAGAACCTTTAGGAAAACTTCACATTCTTGAATTCCTGTCATACAAATCTGTTGATTCTAGTACTAAACTTCTGCTATTCTTTTCTCTCACAGATGGTGAGGACACATGCTATCGGTCAGGATGGACGACCACCAGTACCACCAGCTGGGGCCACTAGAGGCTGAGGACGCATTCAAGGCCATGGTAGGGGCAGGGGTATAGCTCGCACAACAACTAGGGTAGCACCTGTAGATCCACCAACCTCCCCAGTTCAGGATTAGGTCCTAGTTGCGGATGCTCCAGCAACACCATCTCAGGAACCGGGTGTGCCTATTGTGATTTCAGGCATTCAGGAAGCTTTAGCTCAGATTCTATCAGTATGCACTGGCCTAGCTCAGGCAGTCTCAGTTACTACGGCCTTAGCTACTTTTCAAGCCTGGGAAGGTACTCAGACTCCCGTTGCTCACACACCTGAGCAGGTTGTGCAGGGACTTCAGACACCGGGGGTACCTCCAACCCAGCCAGTTGCACCAGCTTAGGAGTATGTGGTACCAGTTATGCTTGACGACGAGCAGCGTTGATTGGAGAGATTTGGTAGATTTCAGCCTCCGACTTTCAGTGGTACAGAGGGCGAGGACGCCCAGGGTTTTTTGGACAAGTGTTATAGGATTCTTCATACACCGGGTATTTTGGAGACCAGTGGTGTAGAATTTACTACTTTTTAGTTTTATGGAGCTGCCTTTACTTGGTGGGAGGCTTATTAGAGGCGTAGGCTGTTGATGCGGCGCCCCTTACCTGGCAGCAGTTCTCTGTCCTCTTTTTGGAGAAGTATGTGTCACAGTCTCGTAGAGAGGAGCTGCGTAGGTAGTTCGAGCAGCTGTGTCAGGGAGATATGATTGTGACACAGTATGAGATACGGTTCTTTGAGTTAGCTCGTCATGTGGTCTGGTTGGTTCCCACAGATCAAGAGAGGATCAGGAGGTTTGTTGATGGCTTCACATATCAGCTTTGGATTCTCATGACCAGGAAGAGGGTGTCAGGTGCTACTTTTGAGGAGGTTTTTGACATCGGCCATGAGATTGAGTCAGTACGTCACCAGGAGCGAGATGAGAGAGAGTCCAAGATGCCTCGGGGATCTGGTAGTTTTAGTGGTGCTCCTTCGACGGGTCAGTTTTAGAGCGGCAGAGGCCGTCCATTGAGACATGCTCAGTCAGCTCGCCTAGGTTATCGTGGGGCATCATCGGGTGATAGTTCTCACAGTTCTCATCAGGGCCATTCATCACTCAGTGCCCTTCCATCCCAGAGTTCATCCCGTGCTCCATCAGTTCAGGGCTCTTCTATGCCAGGTGCATTTGCTAGTCATCCCGGTGCTAGGGGTTCCCTTCAGTCCCCATCTCCAGCACCGGGGAGTTGTTACGAGTGTGGAGAGTTTAGGCATATGATAAGGTAGTGTCCTTGTCTTCTTGAGGGTCTATCTCAGCAGAGGGGTTAGACTTTGACTTCAGCTCCAGTTACTTCACCACCCGCTCAGGCAGCTAGGGGTGGGGGTCAGTCAGCTAGGGGTCTCCCTAGAGGGGGAGTTCGATCAAGTAGTGGTCAGGCCCGTTTCTATTCACTCTTAGCCAGACCAGATGTTAT